TCTTTCTCTCTCTCTCTCACTCACTCACTCACACTCACACACTTGCTCTTACTCTAAAACAAGTTGCAACAGCCTGATCATCATGTCCACATGTATGAAGATCCATACTCCAAACTCTCTCTTAGATTCTTGTGCCTTTACTTTCCTCTGCTCCATCTACATTCCGAGCAGTTGTGCACAGCATCTCTTGCAGCACACTTTTACCAGGTACATCCTCATCTGTAAAGTCAATTCCTCCCAAAGGGAAGTTACTCTGCTGCAGAGCAACATTTCAGAATAGATAACACTTGAATCGCTTGTCTCGAAGCCAAATGTGCAAACTGGAGAGAATATTTCATCTTCAGCAAACAGGTCAGTGTCTCCTCTCCAGTTTGTCCCTGTAAAAACGTCTGTACAGGAGTTATGGAACACCATGCATAATTTAAGGACCACACAATTTATTACACTTACTGTCAGGAGGGCAATTAAAACAAGTGGGCAGCAGAGTGAGATAATGTGCATTTGTGTGTACATGTTTATATATGTGTGTGCGCACTATGCTGTCTTTGTATGTGCTAAGAAGTTGTCTCGCTGTGTGGTTCTGCTTTTAAACAGACCTGGCAGTGTGCCAGAAGTTTCTTATTAGCAGCCAATTAGCAGGGGAGTGATGAATGCACTGCCCCTAAAGTATAAAGAACACTGGGCTGTGTGGGTAATAAAGAGGCAGAGAGACAGTCCATGTAGGGAGACGCTTATTTTGTTCACATGAAGCCTAATGACTATCTCATTTTTCTCATCCTGTTTGTTTCAGGGTCACGGGGGCTTTCGGGGTAATCTAATTGGAAAAAGACGAACGAGGGAGTTGATGATTTTGTTTACATGCAGCCCAGTAATCCATAAAAAGGATTTCATAAGAATCTGGCTCCGCATGAGTCAGGTCAGGTAGATAATTCAGCTCCCACCTCCACTGCGAGCGTAGGCAATGACAGAAGAGGCTGCGACAACTCCACTGTTTTGTTTTTTGAGTTTTTTTTTTTTTTTCCTCTTGTTTTGTTGAGTTTGTGAAGAGGCAGGCCGGGTGGGCTGAGGGCAGCAGACGTTGAGGGTGTTTTTGTCAGCGTCAGCTACATCGACCAGGCAGAATAGTAATGAAGCTGGGTTGCCTAATTGTAGCCCTGCAGTGGCTTTTAGAGCCTGTCTGTGTGTGTGTGTGTGTGTGTGTGTGTGTTGGTTTATGTGTGTATAAATGCCAAAGGCTTGATCCACATTCAGGGGCAGGCAGATCAGGTTTGGGTCGAAAAAAAAAAAAAATCTAGGCATTTTAACTTTCCTATCTGTTACACAATTTGGCAGCAAACCTGAAAACTTTAAACCCTTATTTCCTCATCTTGACTGCCTTGCGCTGCTGCTCTGTGCTTTTGCAGTGCAGTATATTTTGGCATATTGCGAGCAGGTTTGCAAACAAGTCACGTCGCTTTGTTGACTCCCTGTGACTGAAACCTCTTGCGGCTAATGAACCATTTCACCACTCGCCTCCCAACTTTCCTGAAAACATCCACAATAATAATCATCATCTCGTCTCTTACACGCTCCCCTTGCTGTTAAGTTGTTTGTGTATCTGCCTCTCCTTGTCACGAGCCTGGACAGGCACACGCTCACACACACACACACACACACAGCAACGCGCGCCGACATCAAGGTGATGCATTTTGAGCTCTAAATACAAGTCGGTACTTTAATTTAGCAGTGCTGACATTTGGAGTTATTGCGTAAGGATATTGATTTGCGACGACAGCCTTCATGTAGGATTTCCTGTTAATAAAAAAGTGCTGAGGATGACTCACAGGCTGTTTGCATTTTTCTGTTTATGTATGTGGGGGTGTTTACTTGTTTTCCATACACACAAGTGTTGCTGTTGGCACGTATTACTGTAGTTGTCTGGTTCGCAAGTCCATGCGGCTGTAATAAAACTGAAAATATGCCCTTGTGAATACTTTTTTCTGAGATTGTTTATAGTGCTGGGAATAGGGTTATGATATATTTTGAGCATTTTTATTGAGTGGCTTTGGTAAGGAAAGGGAGGGAATATCAAGGCCGTGTTGTGGCTGTAATATAAGAATATGATATTTCAGATTTTGAATTTTGTTATTGTTTTTTAAGGTCTGGCAGTGGCTCTTCAGCTCCTCCACGGGGACATCGATCAGCTGAGACGGGAGTACATGGTCCTCTTCGCACGGGGTGTGTCCATCACTAGGAAACTGGGATTCTCTGATGTCATCATGCCAGGTAGGACACCACAAACCTGCAAGTAACCCTCTGCCAGGTTACCTTCCTTCAGTATGTTCAAGAACTTCACCAGTCTTGCTGGTTTGGGATCATAATGGATGTCAGCTGTCTTTCTGTTTTCATTGCTACACACACCTAATCTAAGACGCTAGCTTTTTACTGTAGCTGGCTTCAGACTGCATTGCATTTTCTAGAAGTTTTGAATCCAAAATCAAGCCAATGCTGAGTTACCTTTTTGAGTAGGAGACACAGTGACACGGGAACTTCAGCTTCCTGGAAAGTAGTTTCTTCCTGAAAAACAGAATATCTTCAGTGGTGATCTCATTGTGCCCTAGCAACAAAAGTGCCAACCAACCAAGACTAAATTATCAAATAATTTTAGAGGAAACAAAACCACCTGTAAGAATAATAGACCAGAACGTTATCTCCACAGAGAATGGCCCGAGCTGCAAGGTTTGAACCACTGAGCTGCCCTCATTTAGTCCTTCACCTGCCCATAAAGTACTGTTGGAGACATAAAACATACAATTTCCTATGCATCAGATTGGTATACCTAGGAAAAGTGATATCAATCAGTAAGAATAAAAAAACATTGATTTCTATGTGAAAAATCAATGACACCTTTAGAGGCTGTACACTTAATGTCTTTTCTAGTGTTTGTATTGTACATATTGATCTTCCTTATATTATCTACTGTAGTTGCCTTGGTAACGCTTGACAGCATTACCTATTGCCTGAGCGTTATATTTGAATTCCACCTAGGGGTGCCCTCAGAAAGATGAAATATTCAGACTCTTTCAGGTAGATAGGCATCACTTAGATAGCTGCTTCACTAAATGACACAGACCCCCATAGAGACCCTGAGGCTTAGCTGTATGGGGCCCTGTTGCCGTGGTAACAAAAGCACAACCACTCGAATGCAAGATGGAACAAGGTGACAACATTTTTTACATGTTTATGTTTACGCATACCGTTGAAAAAGTACAGAAACGAAAGTTCTGTCTGAATGAGCTCTGACTCTTTGTCTGTTCATTCATTTATGAGAGCTGGACGTCGGGGGACTTTTTTTTTCCACCGAAGAGCTGTTCTTTTAAATAAGTGAGGTGTGCTGTCTGGTCACACAGATAAAGAGGAACCACAGACTGTGGGTCCCCCAGCGCCTCACTAACACAGATTTATGTTCACTGTCTCTTTCTTTGTCTCCGTCTGACTACAAACCCTTAATGCTGAGTGCTCTCACCCTCTCTGCCTGTGTAAGTCTGCCCTTGGGCTAAGGAAACTGTCTCTCCCTCTTTTTCTGTCTGTCTTTTCTGGATTTGTATCTGACAGTATATCTCTCCTCTTTTTCTTTCTTCAGCTGCTCTAGCCCCACCCTCTCCACTTCCTTTTTTCCTATTGTACATTAAGAAAATGCCTGTGTGTGTGTGTGT